CTTCCAAGAATAGAAGAAAAGCCTGAAGACAATCCTAAGGTACAAAATGATCATTTATAAATTATGAAATGTTCAATATCAAAACACATAATGTCTTATATGATTTTTTTTACATGTTCTATAAATGACAGGTCTTTATGAATGAATTTGCATCAATGGTACAAGAAGTTGGTGCATCTCTGGCAAGACTTTCTACCAAATTGGTTAAGGCAAAAGAGCTCTTCCCTGGGAATCAGTTGGTCAAGAAGGTAGATGAAGTGTTGGGAAAGATGGCAAGAGAACCATCAATTCTCAGCCAAGATGAAGAAATATTTGGATCAGAGGATTTTTTGAATGCCATAGCTCAAATTGAGAAGGAACTGATGGAGGCAAGTGAAGCAGAAAAAAAGAAAATAGGAAATGAGAGGGAATATGATATAAGGAAAGCATTCAGTTTGGGTTGCAACTTAACTCCCCCAACTCCAACAACTGGTAAATATGCTTAATTAAAAACTGACATTAATTTGAATATCCTTACTTAAAGAGTATAATATAATTAAAGAATTAAAATTTAATTTATTTGAACACAGAAGCACAGATTAATGTTGCAGCCACAACTTCAACAACAACTGATGCAAATGTTTCTTCTAAGCCAGAAGAGGGTAAAGCTTTAATATCTATGTACAATTATGAAAAGTATAATGTTCATTTATAAAATAATAAGTTTGTTTAGTCTAAATATTCAAAAAAGTATATATTCAGAATAACAAATGTTCATTTACATTAACAATTTCATATATTTTAAATCAACAGAAAGAGTTGGAGGTTCAAATTCTGAAGAACCACAAGATGGAGGAAATTCAAAAAAAGGTAAAAAGTTCACTTATATAGTATTAAATGAACATTTGTGATTGTAAAATATTCTTATTTAATGATACTAAGTCTATATATGTGTGAATGCAAATTAATACAAAAAGCATTAAAGAAAGGTGAAGGTTCAAAATCCGAAGCATTAGAAGAAAATGTTGAAGGAAATTCAAAGAGTGGTACAATGTTCACATATTACAAATAAATGATCAAATTATTAAGTATAATGTTCATTTCTAGTTATATTAAATTTTTTTCATGTATTTTGTTTGCAGCATCTGATTCAAAAGTTGGTGATCCCAAGACACCAACTGAAAATAGGAAAGCTGCTGGAGATATTTCTACAATCTTGAAATCTCCAGCATGTTCAAGTATGGAAGATATCCTTGATAAATCAAACAAGAAAGGAGGAAGCATGGGGTAAACATGGAAGACCTATCTTGTTAGAAAATATATAATTTTGAATGGACATGTAGAATAAATTTGGTTATAAAGTGTAATTATTTTGGACAGTTTTTGTTTATGAAGTTAGTAATGGATATGTATTATAAAATCAGAAGGGAATATTTTGCTTTAGGGTAGGAATGCACAATTTAAGATATGTAAATTATGTATTTTAATTTAAATGTCTTAGTAATATTTTAAGTGTTTATTGTTCAAAAAAGGAGAATAATGTTTTTTTTATATTAATTACTCTTCATTACTAACCATGATTAATATTTCAGAGAAGACAAGAAGAAACAAATATATGCTTCAAATGTGAAGGAAAGGTAAATGATTATTCCACATATACATGTTCTTTTTCATTAAACTAAATAATCATTTATACTATATTTATATTCAGTGAGACAAAAAAGGATTCAAAAGAAATTGAAACAGAGAAGATTCAAATTTCCAAAAACACAACAGGACAAAGGTAAATGGTCTTTACATGTGTATAGATTTATAATGTTCATTATCAATATACTAAATGATCATTCATAATTCAATATTTATTCAGTGACAGAGAGAAGACTTTGGAAAGAAAAAAATCAAGAGAAGCTGAGAAGGCAAAAACTAAGATTGCAAAGGAAAAAGAGATAAGGTATTACTATTTGCTCTTTATATAAATTATTTGTTCATTATTAAAAAAATTCATATTTGTATTAATATATGGCCACATTAACTAGGCCACAAAGGGAAATCCCAAATGTTCCTCTTGCTTTCCGATCTCCATACATGGTCAAGTACAAGGATTTGTTCAAAGATGAAGACACAATGAACAAACTTGTAACAGACTATGCTTATAGTGGAAAAGATCAAAGGTATACATCACTTACTTCATTAAAACTTTAACATTATGTTTGTTGTAAACTCATAAAATTTAAAAAATTGATATTTTGCAGTGAGCTACTATACTATGATGGAGTGAATTCGATCAATAGGGAAGAGATGAAAACTCTTGAAGGGGATACATTAGTAGTTAACAATGTGATCGATTCATGGGCAGTACTTCTGAATCAAAAAAGGTCAAAGAACAAGTTATACTTTTCAACATTTCCACATGTAAGTCTTTATTGAAATTACACATGTATACATTGGTGTACTAAAATGATCAATTCACTTATACTAGATGATCATTATGAATATTAAAATGATCCTTGTGCATTATTTGCAGCAAATTATGTATGCAAATACAGTGTGTCTTGAAGGATCATCAATGGAGCTTAGAATTGCATACTTCAAAGAAAAAATAACAAATGAATTGAGGTTATACAAAATCAAGAGTGCAGTTGGATATCAACAGGTATTAATGAACAATATGGAATTATAATATGTTCATTTACATTAATGTGTATATATAATAATATTGTGTACTATGTACAAATTTTTTTTTCCAGTGGCCATATATGCACATTTCTATCTTCTATGCATTGATCATATCAATGAGACAATGCATATAATTGACAACAGGAAACTGCCAAAACATCAAACAATTGCAACAAAGTATGAAAACCAACCCCAATTGGTGGTAAGTATATTGTTTAATAGATATATAAATGATCAATTTGTTTATACAAAATGATCAATATTGAAAATTAAAATGATCAATATTAATATGATCCTTTGAATTTTTTTTTCTGTATATGTTGCAGTTAAAAGGATATGCAGAATATTTGAAAGGGTTGGGGTATGAAGATGCAGATTCTATTGAGAAATATAAGGTGGTTTTGCAAAAAATGAAGTGGAGGAGCAACGAAGATTACACCAACTGTGGAGTTTACATTATGAAACATATGGAAACTTTCACTGCTAATCCCAATGAAGAATGGGTTTGTGACCTAAAACCAAACAATGTAAGTAAATTTCAACAAAACAAAAAAATATACTTCATGATCACTTTATAATACATAATGATCATTTATATCCCATTAATGTTCATGTTTATAATAAATTATTTTCTTGGAACAGGTGAACCAAATCAGAAAGCTCAGAGTACACTACACTGCTGAACTAATGCTGAATGAAGGAAACAGGCAGTCACAGAACAATAGAATAGCAGCAAGAAGATTTGCACAAGCTTAATACAATATGTTCATATATAGATATATATATGATCATACTTGCTTTCAGTATTTGTATGGACATAAGTTTTTGTTGTTGTTCAAGTAAAGACAAAATTTATTATCTTTTTAATATTTACAAATAGTAAAGTGTTACATTATAATTGCCAGTTTTAAATCATCTAATATAATTATTCCAATTTAATAATGGTTCTTACTATTTAAAATAGTATATGATCACTTCCAAAAGCAAAAATAATCATTTATAGAACATTTAAGAATAGTTTGAAAAAAAAAGATTCAAATTACTTAATAAATCAAAATATAAAAAACTTAAAGCACTTGAATCTCTATAAAGTTCAGACAACTAAAAATGTTGATAGTTAAACACCAAAACATAATTGCATATTGATTTACTCTCTTATTTACCATTTGTAGCCAATCTCTTAGCCACACTAGTATCAAAAAACGCTAATAACCTATCATATTTGGTTGAAATCTGTGGAGAACCTCCTTGAGTACTTCTTGAAACAGTAGGAGATCCTTGAACATTCATTGAAACACTAGGAGAAAGTAGAACATTCCTTGAAACACTAGGAGAAACTTGCACATTCCTTGAATTTCCTTGAGTACTTCTTGGAACATTAGGAACATCATGCACATTTCTTGAAATACTAGAATAAACTTGAACATTCCGAAAACAGCCTTGAGTACTTCTTGGAACATTAGAAGGAGCTTGAACTTTCTTCGGAACACTAGAACGAACTTGAACATTTCTTGGAGCTTTTGGAGGATTTTGAACAATGCTAGAAACTTTAGAAGGAGCTTGAGCATTGATTTGAGCATGCACAACTGTGGGAAATTGTACATTTCTTGGTTTCTTTGGTGGCAATTGAGAACTTGTTGGAAAATTATCAACATCATGAGCAATTGCAGCTGTTTTACCCTAATGATCAAAATTAAAATAATTAATGAACAAATTCAAAATTCATAATGACCTTATACAAAATTAAAAGGTAGATGATTAATATTTCACCTTAACAATAGAAGATATGTCTGGATCAATAGTAACGTTTGATTGCATAGAGCTATATCCATATTCCTATAATAAAATGAAAATTATAAAAACATTATAATCACAACTTAAACTACTAAAATGAACAACTACAATTACATACATAATCATTTACATAATACCTGTTCAAAGTCATTTGAAACACTATCATCTGAAGGGATATCTTCTACAATGGCAGTCTTTTTATTACAAACCTTGAAAAAAAATTAAAAGTAAAAATGTTTAATATTCTAAAGAATTTGATAAAAACAGATAAAAAAAAAAAGAAAATAAGTTTTTACCTGAGCACTTGGATCTTCAATCACAATTAACTCATTAGGATCAGCCAAAGAATTAGCATAAGATATAGGACACCCATTCTCGTCCAATTCCTAAGGCAAAACAAAAATGTTCAATTCTTGAACATAAATGATCAATAACAAAAACATAAATGTGCATTATTACCTGAACTACTGCTTGACCTTTAGATCTTTTATAAGGAGTGTATACTGACTTTTTCTTCAACCACTGATCCCTGGCTTTGTTATAAGCCTTCTCTAAATTACTCTTAGGCCTATAATTCCTCTTTCCAATAGGTCTTGATTTTGCCGGATTCTTAACTTCATGATCAACAATTTCAATACCTTCAACCGGTTCATTAAAATCAATAGTACCAGTAACACTCTCAATCTTTTCTTTTAAAAGATTGAAATAACATTCAACCTCTGCTCTAGCATTCAAAGAGTGTTGACAACTTGTTACCAACTTAACAAATTTCCTTAGTGTTTGTGTCCTCCAAACACTTGTAGATACTACATTGGTTTTCATTGTAGGTTCATCAAGGCCATGACTACACATAGCAGCCTTAGTCCACCTCTTACATATATAGTTATCTGGAATCTTATGAACACAATTCATATGATAAATTCGAAGAGCATGACAACAAAGCAAACCCATTTCACTAAACAACATGCATGTACAACATATTGCATGTGTTTCTTTATTAAAAACAACCTCGTGCTTGATCATATCTTTCCCAGGTCTCCACAAATGATAATAATATTCAGGAAAATTCACACCAGCATCCTTATGATCACAAGCAGTAACCTTAATGAACTCTTCCTCAAAAAGCACACAAGCTTGAATAGTATACAATGATCTAGCATGAACAAGAATCCCAATGTATGCAAAGGCCAAATGACGATTACCTCTGATTGTATTATAATCTCTCCCTTTTTCTTTGCTTCTCCACTCTTGAACCACATCGAGAAACACTTGATAGAAATCACATAGACCTTGTGTCTTGTTAAGCCTTTGAGAAACTGATTTGTTAGTTGTCTCACTACGTTGAGATGAAAGCACACCTCCTGACCAAAATTTCTTTGAAAAAGCTGGACACCACATCTCTTTGATTTTATACAAATCATTCAACCAATCAACATTTGCACAGTCATATTTCAACAACATTCTGTAAATGAAACATGATCATTAAGCATAACAATTATGATCATTATAAATAAACATTTATAAAAAAACTAAATGTTCATTTCTGTAAAAATTATTTAAGAAGCTAAACAAGTATAAAGCAGAAGTACCTTTTCCAATAATGCTCAAATTCTGGTGGAGTTTCACAATACTTCAGTAAATAACCAAATAAATCAGTGAAACCATCCAAAGCTCTCAACGCCCCAATGTGTTTCTTAGAATTTTGTTCAATATGCCACACACATAATCTATGATGAACACCTTTGGGGAAAATATTTCTTATCCCAGCTGCAATTGCTTGAGCTTGATCAGTCATAATAGTAATAGGACTTCTCCTTCCCATAGAAGTTAGAAAAGTATCAAATAACCACTCAAATGATTCTGTTCTTTCATTAAGTATAAATCCCATGCCAAACATCACATTATTTGCATGATGATTCATACCCACAAATGGAGCACAAATCATACCATATTTGTTAGTCCTATAAGTAGTATCAAAAACTAACAAATCACCAAAGTAATGATAATCTCTCATCATCCTTCCATCTCTCCAAAAGAAATTAACCAATGCACCATATTCATCTTGTTCAAAATCATAATAGAAATCTGCTTCATCAATTTGTCTCTTAGCAAAAAATTTGATTAGTTGATTGCTGTCACCTCCCCCAAGTTTAGCTGTCTTTTCAACAGAATTAGCATTATAAGCATCAGGAGCTGTAAAACAAAGGTTAGGAGACCCTCCAACCTCCTTATTCAAAGCTCTCAAAGAATCAGAAACTTTAACTCCACTCAATCTAAGTGTAGAAATGAAATTAATACGTTCCTTAGAAATATCCCTTTGAGACCTTATTAAATGTCTCTTGTCAACAGGAATCATTTCATGATTATGAACCATCTCATGTCTTGTACATGTATATACACCTGAACGGTCAATACTAAACTGCACAAAAGCTAAGCAACCAGTCCTTATGTTAAGTCTCTCATACAGCCTATTATTCCTGCACTTATCATCTTTAAAACCCTCATTTGTACAAACAAATCTTTTCATAGAGAATGTATCATCTCTTCGCCTCTTACTTTTTCCAATTTTAATTCCAAAGCCCTTTCTAAATGCATATTCATTAAACATTTCATAAGCCACATCTTCAGAAGGAAATTGTTTCCCATAAAATTCAGAACTAGCTGCTTCCTCAAATAAAATAGCATTCTTTTTTTCCACTGCAATATTAAAATGTAACAAATGAACACAAATAATAGCAATAATGTACAATAACCACATGTAAACTGTTAATGATCATTTATCATTACATAAATGAACATATATCAAAATGATAATAAAACATATAAATGAACATTTATGATTACATAGATAAATGTAAATTACAGTAATTACACCTATGTTAACGTAAATGTACATATAATCTAACATACATGAGCATTAATTGAATGTCAATTTTTATAAAACTATAGACAATCATTAAAATGCAGAAAACTGGAAAAAACATCAATCGAATAACAACATTACAAAGAAAAACAATAAAATCACAACAATACATCACAAACTATAAATTAAAATAATCATAAATAAAAATGAAATCAAATATTATAATCGACCATAATTTTGATTTTAATTCATACAATAAGCAAAACTACAAAACCAAAAATTATAATTGAGCATTATATAAACTATAGTTCATACAATTATCAAATTATGAAATCAAAATCGAACTATTACATGCGAAAACAGAGCATAATCAAAATCGAATGATTGAGGGAAAAATTACTCACATTGTTGCGAAAACGAGTCGACTAAACCAACTCCAGCAGGAAAAATAGAATCACAATCACGATCAAAAGCAATTAAGCTAGAATCACAGTCACGATCAAACACAATTGAGCTAGAAATTTCCATGGAAGAAGAGAGAGAAAAATTGGGGGAAAAAATAAAAAATGCAGGAGAGAGAAAATGAAATAAGTAAAAAAAGAGAGAAATAAAATAGAAATTAGGTTAAGAAAATCATTATATAGTTGCTTGAATAGAAAGTTAACAAAAATGAAAAAAGATGAAGAAAAAAAAAATAGCAGAATGATTATTTATGGCTTGAATATAAAACGACGTAGTAGCATGGGGGTGTAGGAGAAGCTAGCTACCCTAGAGTCTAGGCAAAAATTTGTACATTTTGATAAGAAGAGTCGAATTGATATTTTGAGGTGTGTGTGGCCCAATAAGTATGAAAATCTCATGCTTTCTAATTAACGGTCCAATGGATATAGGCCAGGCCACCCGCCACCATGCTTAATTGCTTAGGTTGAGTTTTTTTTTTTTTTTGGATGAAAGTTTAGCTCAATTGATTAACTTTAATATGATGTGGCTGGAAAACGTCAAAATATGAAAACTTAAATCACACGGATTACGATTATTCGATTGTAGTCTTGCAGAAGTATTAAATGGGCTAATGCCAGATGTGTAACATAGCTATGAATCTATGATGCAATACTTGATAAAACTTCGCATATGAACAAACCCCAAAGTTAGAACTCCTAACTTTCCCGAGTGATATACTGAATTACTGATATACTCCCCTTAATTAGGTGATAGTGTCCTATCAGATCGGAATCCTTTATAGGTTACTTCAGTCGGGATTAACGGGTTAAATAATTTAGAAGAATAGGAAAAGGTCTCTCTTTTTCACTAGATTGAACTTAGTTTGGTACTTAGCTTGGTGATATTAGATACGGTGTTATAAGTCATATATTAATATATAATACATTATATTATGATCTCGTCAATAGAATTTCAAATGAGTATCAAATTATCAACTAGCTTCGTTTGTTAAAGGTATTCAAAGTTTGAGATTGAATGTCGTTTGCATTATTGGCTTAGATTCTCTTTACCAAAAACAAACTAAACATTAATTATCTATAATTAAGTAAACATATCTTCTATTTATGTTAAACAGATGTAAAAATTAAACTAATCAATCTACTCTAAACTAATCAATGGTTAGTTGGTTACAAACTTTACTTAACATTTATATCTATACTTTATTTTAGTATTTAAAAAGACAAACCACATCCACCTATATGACACATGTCATCATAATTCACCCATATGCAACATAACACATCCATTAATATTTCCTCTTTATACTCCCTTTCAAAGTAAAAGATAAAATAAAATGTTATCGAATGCTAAAGTCTTTATGCATTCCTAACTTGCAAATTTGAGTAAGAAAATAGAGTGTTCCATTTTCACTATAAAAAAAAGTTGTACTCCTCTCTATACCCTTTTAATGTAAAAGTTAAAATAACAAATTATTTAATGTTAAAATCTTTATGTATTCCTAACTTGCAAATTATTACAAAAAATCACCGACACATACAACACAAATAAGCAACACATTTCAAGAAAAAATAAAATGAGCTACAACTCGTTTGTTGGATGGGTCAAAAGGCTAGTTTAATTTATTACCCTAAGCGAGAGGTTGAAGTATTCATGGATTTCATGGAACTCGTTACCGTAATTCCTAACTTGCAAATTTGAGTAAGAAAATGGAGTGTTCCATTTTCACTATATTTATAAAAAAAAAAAGTTGTACTCCTCTCTATACCCCTTTTAATGTAAAATTTAAAATAACAAATTATTTAATGTTAAAATCTTTACGTATTGCTAACTTGCAAATTATAAGTAAGAAAATTAAGCAAATTATTACAAAAAATCACTGACACATACAACACAAATAAGCAACACATTTCAAGAAAAATAAAATGAGCTACAACCCGTTTGTTGAACGGGTCAAAAGGCTAGTTTAATTTATTACCCTAACCGAGAGGTTGAAGTATTCATGGATTTCATGGAACTCGTTACCGTACCCAAACGTGAAGTATGTATTTTGGACTTTTTTTTTTGTGTGTTTAGAGAGCCACAAGGGCGGGGAATGAGAATCGATCCCAAGATCTCTTGGAATCGGGAGGAGAACTCTAACCACTTGAGCTATCCCTCACTCTCATTTTGGACTTTTTTTTATGAAGTATGTATTTTGGACTTGAGATTTGATGTTATAGAATAATAATAATAATAATAATAATAATAATAATAATAATAATAATAATAATAATAATAATAATAAGACCGCCTTGTGATTCAATGGATTAATCAAGTGAACATTTAGGTTTAACTTGTATGAACTGAGAAGGTATAGAATCAACAATATAATGGGAATGAGCCTAACCAATGCTTGGTATTCATATGAAGGTGTATATGTCGATTAACTTAATATGTGAAAATTAACATATTTGTGTATACTTAGGGCCTGTTCTCTTCCGTTGAAATTCAGTTCAGTTCAACTCTTAATCTACGTCTAATGATATTGCTAATGATATAAAGCCAAATTTCATTCTTTTAAGCTCTTATTACAACGACAACAACAACAACAACAACAATAATAATCAATAAGTAATAAATAATAATAATAATAATAATAATAATAATAATAATAATAATCAATAAATAATAATAATAATAATAATTGAAATAATAATACTAATAATAATACTAAGAATAATAATAATAATAATAATAATAATAATAATAACAATAATAATTGAAATAATAATACTACTAATAATAATCAATAAATAATAATAATAATAATCATCAATAAATAATAATAATAATAATAATAATAATCAATAATTAATAATAATAATAATATTATTATTATTATTAATATGTACATTTGTATATACACATATGTATAGTAATAAATAATCAATAAATAATCAAAGATCACTAATCCGTAGTTAAAAATCACTAATTAATAAGTTCAGTTCAGTTCAGTTCAGCTCAGCTCAGTTCAGTTCAGTTCAGTTTAGTTGAGTTCAGTCAATCGGAACAGGCCCTTAGTATTTAAAAACTATAACCAAGAAACTAAAAAAGACACATGTCCCCAATCTCCCCATCCATTCTATTACACTTCTCTAACCATAGTGTCACATGTCATCTTACACTATTAATTTTTTATTACACCATTTTTTTTATTCTTTCATTAAACTTATACTTCATCTTTCAATTCATACACACTTCATCTCTCCCCTTTAAATCAACATTTTCCTATTCTCTCTTTAATTCCCTACCTATTGTAGTCTCAGTCACCACTACACCAACAACCAATTGGTGTAGTGGTGATTGGGACTACACTTGGTATGGAGGACACGTGTTATAAAATATTATATTATATACATATAATTTTTTATATTATAAAAAATATTATATTATACACACATACTATTATAGTTAAAAATATTATTATGTATAAACAACATAAATTATTGCACATGATTGTTGTATATCTAGTATAGTACATGAGCAATGCACAATTATTAAATTAAAATGTTAGTTTTTTTTTTAAAAAAAAATTCATAAGTAATAGAATTGTTATTACGAATATTACAATTTAAAACACGAGTAATAGTTATAATACATTTTATATCTGTCCCTTTTCCGTCAAATGTCTAATTCAATTTAACTTTTATTCTTCTTGATTGGTTATTGGTTCAGTTTTTTATTTTTTATTTTTTATTTTTTTATGCAAGAAAAACAAAATGTCATTGTAAAAGACAATGTATAGAAAATGAAAGGCCGATTAAAATTAAATTTATGTTCAAGATTATGTATTTTTTTACAAGACAATATTTCGACTCAACATTCAATATTTGTCAAGGAGTACAACAAACGATAAAAGTAATTTTTACACTATTTTGTATCTTTATCAAAAACTTTTGTATTCATCCGATTACTTGAATTGAATTTAGATAACTTGTAAGCTATTTTGGGTAACTTTTATCAATAAGCATAAATAACTTTCATTCATTACAGGGTAACTTTTATAATAGGTGCACAATATTTTATTGTACATCTGATTTTTTTTTAAATGTTTTTATTGATTTCATAATTGACATCAAAATAAACTCTATCGATTTTATTTAATTTTCATTAAAAAAAATATTAGCCTTTCAAAATACGAAATATTTGTTTCCTTAATTATGCCACTTTAATCATATTGATTCAAATTAGTTATTATTCTTTAACTTGACTATAAATAAAGATTGGGAAGACTTTATGGATTAGTTGTAGCATTGGAAAGTATATATTTATTATAAAAAAATTAAATCAATATTTATGTTAGGAAATCATGAAAATCTTATGCATGTATAGAAACTTGCTTTTATTGTTTGAAGTTTAACAAAAATAACTATGCTTGAATATGTAAACAGTAATTATATAAAAATATTTTATACATAAGATAAGCCGATGAGAGAGTGACATTTGTCATCCTCACATTGAGGCGCTTGTCTTTTAGTATAATATATATATAGATAGATAGATAGATAGATAGAAGATGGAAGACAAAGTTGACGATATCTAAACGACTAATGAAGAAAAAATGGCCAAGCATAATTGGAATTTGTGCTTTTATAATATCCCTTCTATTTAAAATGCTTACTCTATTTCTATTTTTTATATTATTTATTTATCATATTTTGATTAATACTATATATTTATGATTTATATATAAGAAAAACATAAATATAGTTATGTCACTATGTGGGTACTTATTGAAATTCTCTTAATGAATATAAAATTTATATCAGACACACATATTTAAGAAAAATGGAACAAGTATATAAAAATAAAGACAGTATTATTAGAATTAATTTCAACCCCATAAACTGTATCCAATACAGGTGACAGTCGGAAAATGGCCAAGTATTTGCATTGAATTCATAAACACAACCAAACAAAACATAACACATTCATGTCTTCATGAAAGCACAGAATTTCATAGATGGGCTTTGCTTAGATACTCGGTGATGTAACTTTTTGTGTAATGATATTGTTATTAATTAGGA